TGCTGGAGGAGGACTTATAAAGCAGCGCGGCCTGGGGTGGTCTGCCTGAATCGGCCCCCTGTGAGCGGATGAAAGCCTGGGTCGGTGGCTGGGCAGGGAAACTGGCTGGCGGGGGGCCAGGGGCAGGGAGGCGGGTAGCTCCCTCCCAGGGCCGCAAATGGGGCTTCCAGCAGCCTGGGGTTGATTAGGGGAGCCAGGGAGGTCTGAGGTTAACCCCTTCCTGCCTGCTGGGCTGACTCCCCTGGCTTCCTCAGCCTGTTCCCAGACCAGAGATGCTCCTGGGGGCTGTGGGAGTCCTGGGAGCTAGGGAGCAGGAGCAGTTGCCCTTCTTCAGCCCAGGGACCCCTCTGCCTCCCCACACCTGAAGCTGAGGGAGAAACTGTGGCACCTTTGGGATCCTCAAATGCCCAGCTGCAGGCTTAGGGTCACTTTTCCTCCCAGCACCAAGTCCTGAAGCTCCCACCAACCACACTGTTTGCTCACTTCCTTCAGTCTCTGCTCCACTGTCACTCTTTGGAAGGTCTGCCCTCACTCCCTGGTCAAAACAGCAGCCTACACCCCTCTCCATTTTGATGTTCTTCATAAGACTTCTCACTACCTAAAAATAAACTATATATATATATGTATTTCATCCATTTAACACACACTTATTGAGCACCTACGAAGTGCTCACGTCTCTGTCCCAGGGGTGTGTAACAGTGCTTGGAAACTAAAAAAAAACCAGCCCCCCACCTTATGGAGCCTAGATGACAGTGGAGTAATCAGTGAACCACACAGCTTATTAGAAGACGATAGATACTCTGGATACAATGAAAGCCAGGAAGGATGGGGAGCGGCAGGCACGGGTGGGTGGGTGCAGCTTAAACAGTGTGGTCAGGAGAGGCCTCGCTGAGAAGTTTGAGTATAGACCTCAGAAGGAAGCCACGCCTCTGGGGTGTTTGTGGGAAGAGGGTTCCAGGCAGAGGAAACAGCAAGTACAAAGGCCCTGAGCAGGGTCCCACCTGGCAAGCCTGATGGCCAGCCAGGAGGCCAGGGAGGCCAAGTGGGAGAGAGAGGAGGATGGGAAGAGAGCAGGCAGAGGGGGAATGGGACACAGGTCAGCAGAGCCATGGGAAGGACAAAACTCATTTACCTCTCTCCCCACCCTAGAGAGTGAGCCCCAAGAGGGCGGAAACCTGCCCGTTGGGTTCCTTGTGGTGCCCCAGCTTCTAGAACAGTGCCTGACAAGTGGCAGATGCCCAGGAAAATATTTGTTGAGATCATTCCATGTACACTTCTGAGAGGAAAAGGTACACAGCTTTCAGGTTCTTAAAGGATTTGGTGAACCAAAAAGAAGGTGCTGGAGCCACCCTGCTCAGGCAGGATTAATAACCTGTGTCCTACCCTTCCAGGTGCCAGTACCTGCTGGTTTAGTGGTTGCCAGGCTGTGATCCACAGACCCCCATCCCAGAATCACCAAGCACCACACTGCCTCCCGCTCGAATCCTTGGGCCAGCTTAGCAAGCAGCTTTTTACCTGACCCCCAGTGACTCCGAGGGCCGCCAACACTGAGAACCTCAGAAACCGAGGCCACAGAGGCAGGAAGCCACCAAGCCAGCCTTCAAACTCATACAGCCACCTGGCTGCAGGTCGGGCATGCTGTGCAGGGCACCAGAGGGGAACGACCTGGCCACAGAGCCCACAGCCGGGCCTCCAGGATCTGTGACTCCCACTCCTTGGCTCCTAGGACCAGCCCTCACCCCAACCCTGCCCCACAGAAGGCTCGGCCCTCACTTGGGGCTGGGGTGGAAAAGCAGGAGAAAAGCCTGGGAAGGAAATGCTAGAGCTCATGAGGCTATCCATAGTCCATGAGAGTTGCTGGGCACTTTCTATAGGCCAGGCAGCTGTAGACTCATTAAACATGCACATAAATCCTTCCAAGCAGATACTATCACCCCCATTTTACAGATGAACCCATTGAGGCTCAGAAGGCCCTTGCACGTGGCCCTCACTTCCCTGAGCTCCAGGCTGGAGCCCCCAGGGTCCTCTGAAGCCCACCCTCAGGTAAGCGGCTTTGCCTGCATGGCCTCTGTCTTCTGGGGTTGTTAAGAATCGATTAATGGAGACTCGGCACAGGGACACAGAGGTTGCTTACAGACCAGCAGCTGCTGAGCTGGCCTCTTTCCTTTTACAGATGGGGAAACTGAGTCCTGGAAAGAGGAAAGGACTTGTTCACAGCCACAGACTGAAGGCCAGGGTGGGGCTGGAACCTCAGGTGTTAGTGAGACGCCACCTTAGGGCTCAGACTCTGCCTCAGACCTGCAGAAGCACCCCCACCCCAGCTCTGCTCTGAGCTGTTCTCTAAGTGAGCTTCTGCCTAAGATTTTGCTGGCACGAACAAGTCACTTTAAAACCACTGCCCCAGTCCATGTCAAGGCCTGAAGAGGGACATGGCCATCTGCCTCAGGCCGTGCAGCAAGCCTGGCCCTTTACCCGGCCCATCTCCCAGCCCTGTCCCTCTCCTGCTGCTGCCTTGTTTCCCCCAGGCCTCAGTGGCATCATCCTGTGCCACTCTTCTCTTACCAGCTGATTCCAAGAAGGGGCTGTCTCAATCCCAGGGGGCTCCAGGAGAAAAGAGCAAGCAGGGGATTCAACTGGGGGCTATCAAGGGCAGGGGCGAGCCTCCACCCTCACCCAGAGGCCCTAGTGGGGGAGGATGGGCTGCTCTGGGCTGAACACGGAGGGCTCTGAGGGCTGCCAAGCATTGCCTTGCCCCACAGTGACCTTCCCATCAAGCTCCAAGACCTCCTGTCACATGCCTCTAAGCATAGGGGGCTTGCTGCTTTTTGGTGTGGCTCCTAAACCCTCACACTGGCTCCAGTTTGGCTCCTGTCCATTCTGATTTCGCCGCTGGAGACTTAAAGCCAGATCATCACCTCTTTCAGTGAAGACTCTACACCTCTATTAATATGGCTTAGGGCTGTTGGCAGCCATGCTACTGCTGACCAAGAGAGGCTCCCCATCGACTAATGGTGGTAGTGGTAGTACAGGGAAGAGTTGGGTAGAATGACATATGAACCCTTCCTCTGCTACAGCCAGATGCTGCACATACTTGGTCACTGATCTCCAGGCCTGAAGAGTAGTGGTACTATCCTCACTCCATAGGGCCAGTGGCTTGCCCAAGGTCACACAGCAAGTAATAGCTACAGCTACCCAAATGAGCACCTGCCAACCTCCTGTAAGTGCTTTACACAGGTTGACATGTTTTCTCCTCACAATGGCACCATGGGGTACGTGCTTGTACAAACCCCTCAGTTTAAACAAGGGAACTGAGGCGTGGAGATAACATTCCCCAGGTCCCTGGCTCAGGATCTGCTCTCCACACTGTACTGGAGTAATGGGTCACAAACGTTTCTCAGCCGTCACTGCTTCAAGTGGGTCTCTTAGGGTGGGTCTGGTCACTGATCCAGTTCACAGATGACAAAACTGAGGTCACAAAGGAGACATGACTTGCCCAGGATCATGAAGACCAAGGCCAGAGGCATGGAAGACCCAGCAGGAATTCTGGCCAGAGCAGGTGCCAGAGCTGATGACACAGGCCTGACGACCATGTACAAGTGCTCAGGGGAGGCACAGGGGTGACCCTGAGAGGCCTGGAGTGGAGCTTTTCCAAGGTCGCTGGGCTCAGCTCCAAGCCTTTCCCAAGTGGCCAGACTCTGGAATGGGCCAGAAAGTGGGCACATGGGGAGCCAGATCTGCCTGAATCCCAAGAGGAAAGGGGCTAGCTCAGAGCCAGACAGGGTCCGTGCACAGCCACCCTCCCCTTCTGAGAGTCCTGGGCCCCCTTCAGGGTCTCTGGGAAGACTAAGGGTGGGGCTCCTCCCACTGCTTTGCTCAGTGTGAGGTCCAGGACCAGGAGCCCTGCATTCTCACCAGAAACCCTGGCTTTGTTGTCATGAGGATCCCGCGAGGTGATAATAAATGTGAAGGTGTTTTCTAAACCACAAAGGGCCTCAATTACAAAGAAAGAGACGGACAGGTCAGGTCACAAGGGGAGAAAGTCCAGCCAGGTGTTCCAAGTCAGAGCTCAGGAGCAGCCAGGCTAGAGTTGGCTGGCTGGTTCTTTGTTTCTTTCATTCATTCATTCTTCATTCATTCATTCACTCATTATTCATCAAAGACCTATAGTCTACTCTGTGGCACCTGCCCCTACAGATTTCTAGATCTTAATCTGCAAACTCCAAGTTCTTCAGTAGGCAAAGAAATTTAACACAAACTCCCCTTAACGCTAAAACACATGAATCAGGACTCCCGCCCATAGTAGATGCTCAATACATTTTTGTTGAATCACATTTGCATTCCTGAGCACACTTGTCTTGGTCCTGGGGTCAGAGTGCCTGGGCTCAAATCCCAATACATCTCAAAACCTGCTTGACCTTGAGCAAATCACACACCAAGATTCAAAGGAAGAGATTCCAGGGAGGGCTCAGCCACACAGGTAGACCAGCTCCAGCCTTTCCCTTGCTTCCTCCCTGTCTCCCTCTTTCCCTCCCTTCCTCAGCCACCAGTGGAGGAAGCTGGAGTGGAGTAGAGCGTACCTACCCCTAAGGTCAGCCCCTCACTCCCAGCCATCACAGTCACACCAGAACAAAGGTCTGAAGACCTCCCCATCCTTTTTCTTTCCTTGTCTGCTGCAAATTCACACTCCTGCAGCCGACAAGGGGCAGATCTCACCAGAATAGGTAGTCAACAAGCCAGTCCTGTCACTGTTCCCACCACCACCCATCCTCCCGGTCTCTTCTCTGGCCTTCTGAAGTCTGGGCTAAGCCCAGAGGGTTTAAGGCATTGTTGGTAGGCACACTGTGTGTGGGAAGCAAAGCTGAGGGCTGCAAACCACCCCCACCCCCGATGAATAATGAATGCTCCAGGAACCCAATGCCATCTGCTTGCCCTTTGCTGTTTCTCTTCCTCCACTGGGCCCTTCTCCCCATCCCAGGGGGCTCAGTGGCTCTGGCACTTACGTCTGGGCTCCCGGGGTCCATCCACAGTCACCTTGATGGCTCGGTGGTAGGTGGCCACTTGGGTAGGGTTGGTGAACACGGTGATGGTCAATGTGAAGCTCTTGCCTGGGTGGGAGTGGAATAAAGGCACGAGGTTGGCACTTGGAGCTAATCACAGCACCTTAGTCTCTCACCGTACACCCCACCCGTTGTTGCTGTTGTTTGGTGCCATCAAGTCAGCTCCCACTCATAGAGAGCCTATGTACAACAGAACGAAACATTACCTGGTCCTGCGCCAGCCTCACAGTTCTTGCTATACTTGAGTCCCCCACACCTAAAGCCCCTCACCTTCAACAAGGGGCAGGTTTCTCTCCTTTGACCCCGGACAGAAGGTAGGACTCCGGGTGAAGGTCAAACTGCTGGGGTTGGCATTCAAGGCCTCTGGAGGTCTTAACATCAACTTTATCACCTTTGTCCCACCCCATGCTCTGACCACCCTGGCTCACTTCCTCCCTACTTCTGGATCTTCCTTTGTGCTATACCTCCTATCCCTCATGATTTTGGGGTGAGAAGCAAGGATGGGTGCAACTTTTTTTCCCCTGAAAGTATACTATTAATGATTTTCGTAGAAGATGTCGAAAACCCAGAGAATATAACAAAGAAGGGTTATCCCGAAGTCCACGAACCAGAGATAAACACTGTTAATATTTGAGTGTTTTCTGCTCCAATCCTTTTTGTATGGGTGTGTATATGGCACAGTTGAAATGGTGTTAAAAATCTGTTTTTGTGCCCTGCTTTTTTCATTTAATATCACATCCCAAGCACTCTTCCGTGTCATTAAAAATTCTTCATAAACTTCATTTTTAATGGCTGTAAATTATTTCAACTCATGGAAGCCTCATCTTTTATTTACCCGTTTCCTTACTTGGGTATTTACATTGTTGCTAATTTCTCATTGTTGTGTGCAGCTGTGGCTGGACAGGGAATGATTTGGGAGCTGTAGACATTTAATTTGTAGACACAAAGGCTATTTCCAGAACTCTGTTCTATTTTTAGATATGCATTTGGCTCCAGAGTCTCCATTCAAAATTCCTGAGAGCAAAACAAAACAAAACCCCACCAAAACCCAAAAAACAAAAACCTTTAAAATAATAACTTCTTACCATTTAAAATAAAAGGACAATAAACTTCTATTTATGAAAAATCTTTGCTGCATCTCTGCTTACTTCTTTAGGATTGATTCCAAAAAGTGAAGAGCGATTTCACTGCATTTGAGGGGCCAGACCCAATTACGGGTGCTGGTCTCTCTGGAAGGAGCTTCAGTGGTGAGGTGCCTAAGGCATTTAACTGCTAACCAGAAGGTTGGCCGTTCAAACCCTCCAGCTGCTAAGATTTACTGCCTCGGAACCCACTTGATGGCAGTGAGTTTTTTTAGTTTTTGGTCTCTCTAGAGAGGGAACTCTCCAGAGAGGCGGCACCAGGGATGTCAGGATCAGGGTGTGACTGTGCGTCACACGGCCGTCAGCACCAGGACCCTCTATTAGTTTGGATGAGCTTGTAAACTCTCTGACTTCGTCTGCCTTTCTGTTACTGATGAGATGGAAACTTTTTGTGTGTTTATTAATCCATCATAATTCAACACACATTATTGCTCCGTGTTCTTTGGTTAAAAAGGCTTTAGTGCCTTTTAAAAATTGCTATATGCTGGAATTGCTAACCCTTCCTTCCCACGTCGTGTTCATGGCCGTTCAGTTTCCCAGTTCGTTGGTCTTTCCTTTTCATTTTCTGACACAGAACTCTTGTTCATTTTCAGTTTTATCTCTCATCAGTCTTTCACGATTTCTTCTATTGTTTTTATGTGGGGGCAAGGTTCCCCAGTCAGAAAGCAGATATAGTTTTACCTTAAACAAACAAACAGCAGTCTCTCTAGTTTTTGCATTGAATTCTTTGATTTGTCTGGAGGTTTACTGGTTGGCATGATAAAGGTAAGGATTTTTCTTCAAAGGGTAATCCAATTTCCCCAGGACTTTCGATGGAGAAAGTGACGCTTTCTTGCCCAATTCTTAATTGTCATCCAAAACCTCCAGGATGTAGGAGGAGATGGTAGGGACCCGGGGGGTTTGCTGATGCCCTAAGTCAGACTTCATCTCCTAGTTCTCTGCCTCCAAACCCACCTCTCTGGATCTGAGTTACAGGTGGGGGAGCTCCCTGAGGGCAGGGCCAATAGCCTGGTGCACCTGTATCCCCCTTGGCTGGCACAGGGTAGGTGCCTGAGGGAGTCTACCCAAGGAAATCCCTCTGCTGTCCTCCCACCACTTTTCAATATCCCTACTTTGCAACTGGGGAGATGACAGCTCAGGGAAAACCCATATTTCATGCACATCTGGTGATCTGTTGGTTGAGTGATCAAATGACAATTCCAGCCCTAGAAACAAGAGGATCAGAACAAAAGTAACTGAGCTGGGTTGCTGGGGCCAAAGCACCCAGGGGCTTGAGACACTAGGGGGAGTTTAAAGCTAAGGAGTAAGTGAGGAGTGACTCCCACTGGGAATACTGAGGACTCTCTGGAAGAATCTTCCCCAACCAGTGGGCTGGAGGCAGGGTCAGAAATGCAAAGCATCACCCCTGGAGTCCTGAGTCAGAAGAATAAACATGGCCCCTCACCCTCACACCTTAGGGGCACCTTCTATGTTTTGTGGAAACATAAAATTCAGAAGATGGAGGGAAATGCCAGGTAGGTAGCTCCCAGCCAGTCACCTCCTGAGACTCTCCTCTCCTCCCACCTCCAAGCCTTCCCTCACTCTGAGGTCCCCAGGCTCTTTAGCTGGTATTGCCCTGTAACGCCTCCTCCCAGGCTCTAACCAGCAGGGCACTATTGCTGTCCCTGGGCCTATAACCCCCCTCCTACAGTGGGGACTGCAGGAAGTGGTGCTGCAGGTCAGCCATGCAGATGGGGGTTTTAGACAGACAAGCCACGAGACAGAGCAGATGACTGGCTGAGGACACTGGGCCCCAGCCCCGCAGCAGTGCAGCCCCTGCCACAGATGGTTAAGTGCCCCTGGTTCTCATCTCAGCGAACAGTTGCCTGCTCAGTGAGGACTTCCCTGGTCACTTTATATAAAACAGGTGTTTTTAACTTGGCATCCACGGGCCCCTCCCAGACCTGAATGGACCATGAATGGGGATAAGAAAAAATTATTTTGATTGCCCCTCACCTCTAACTGAAACAGCATTTCTCTCAAGTATGAATGTCGACAACAAACCACAATGGTATTATGAACAGCACCTGTGACCTTGTCACCAGCAGATGTCACAGATATTTATATATCATATGACAGTAGTTGAAGATTTCTCTAAATATCTTTTATGTTCGTCACCACTTCAAAATCATGGTCGTCACTGGGCCCATTGCTAGATCTTGTTATTTAATGCCTCAATAAAGCAGCACATTTATCACAATTTTGCTTTATAATAGTTTGCTGACTATATTTTAATGGAATCGGTTTCCTTTGTAATCTTTGTATTTCATTTTATGCATTTAAAAACATTATTCTGGGAAAGGTATATGGGCTTCACCAGACTGCCAGAGGTCTTGTGCAAAAAAGGTCAAGAATGCAGATCTGCAGCCTCATAGACCCTCCTTCCAACTCTGTTTCCTATACCTGTCTGAATTTCCCCACAATGCTTATTACTTCTAATAATCCATTAACTTTACTTCTTCATTTTATTTTCTATCTCACTCCATTAGACTGTAAGCTCTCTAACAGTCAGAATTTTTGTCTTGTTCAACGCTGGGTCCCCAACCCCTAGAACAGCTCCTGGCACTTAGTAGGTGCTCAATAAATGTTTGTTAATGGCATCAAAGGCAGAGATTATTGTTCCCATTTTACAGATGTGAAAAGTGAGGTTCACGGAGGAGCAGTGAGTTAATGTGTAGAGTCCAAAAAGGTTAGAATGTGCTGAAGCCCACCCCTCCACACAAACACTAAAGTCCTGCTCCTGGGGAGGGAGACGCTCCCACCTCTACCAGGTAGCAAACTGTATGCCACTCCCTGAGGTCAACAGCACTTCCCAATAGCTTCCTCCCAGTTTCCAGGCCTCACTTCCACCCCTACTGAAAAGAGGAGAGAGGGAGGGAGGGGAGAGGAAGGGAAGAGTTGAGGCCTCAGAGCTGGAGTGGGAGGGAGGGGCAGGTGCCAGGGACAGCAGCCAACAACCAAGAGACTGAAGCTGAGCGGCATCTGAGGCCCTGTCCACTGAGATGTCAAATTCCATGAACCAAGGCTGGGAAGAGTTATCTCCGAGTGGCCCCTGCCCTCCCTAGCTCTGCCCAGCTTTCTCTCTGCCTGATGCCAAACCCACCCATCCAAAGCTCACCTTCTGGAGTATAAGGCAGAGGAGACAAAGGAGGTAGGCAACTTTGTGCAGAAAGCCTGGGGAAACTTGGGATAAGAACATGAGTCCAGGAATTACAAGTCAAGGCACTCCAAGGCCTGGTCCTGGATGGAGGGGGAGAAGTCCCAAGTCTGGAAAATAAGTGGCCTCAGACATTTCCTCAGGATCCATGGCCCCAGACCAATCAACAAGTACAGTGTTGGCCTCAGGCAAGTCCTCCTCCCTCTCAGCCTGGGTTCCCGTGTGACAAGCCACACGAGCTCCACAGCCTGAACGGGACATGTCTGGGGAACCTCTGACATCAGATGGCTTCTTCATGTATCTCATTCTCTAACAGTGGTCACCCTGGCTCACCCCAGATCTCCCACACATGTCATCCCCAAATCCCTCTTCACATAACTACTGCTTCTCTTGAACCAGTTCCTGACAATTCAGGAACTACTGTGCGTTCCTTCTCAGCTAGGTCAGTGGTTCTGAGTGAGCGCCTCCTAGAGGCCACTTTGAAGATCTGTGATGGTGAGTGGTCATCACAAAGCTAGGTGGGACATTGGAACAGAGAAGGGAGGGTGCCGACACCCAGTGCTGCACAGGGCCGTGACTAATTCATTCTTCCTGTGGGTGAAAAACTTGCTTATCGAATCTGAACTGTGAGCCTAACTCAGTTTTCTAAAAATAAGGTAATTTTGTTTTTGCACACTTCTAGTATCTACTGAATTTTTGAGAAATGCAAGTGCTGTGTAAATTGAGGGAAGACTGCTTTTAAAAAAATTGTTCTTAATTTTGCCAACAGTTGTTCACAATTTCGAAAATGACATCACTGACGGCTGAGCGTTTTCCGCTTCCGAGTCCCGTCCACCTGCTTGCCAGTAGCTTTGGCTCCGGGGGCTTCTGTGTGGGGGTGTGAGCATCTGTCCACCTCCCTAGTGTGGTCTTGCCCCAACATTTACATATTCAAATACAGATTTTATTATGGACTACTTTCCTTTTCTTCTCTAGTATACTCATGGAATTATACAGATTTTGAAACTGCAGGTAAGTAGGTAGGATACGATGCCTACAAATTCCACAGCAGGATACTAAAGGGAGCGTGACAAAATACTTATTGTAAGGAAGGAGCGCTGGGTCTGCGAGGGCAGCAAGCAACCCAATCACTGCCGGGTCACCTGGTTTTCCTCTCTTCCGCTCAGTTCACACCTTCAGCCTGATCTTAAGAGCCCTGTGGTGGTGCTGTGTGTTTATCTTTCATGACAAACTATCTTCCTGAATTAAGACAGAATAAAAGAATAAGAAGCGAGGCAACAAGTCGAAGCTTCCACCTGGCTTCTTAGTGCCTGACAAAATGCAGAGAGCCAGGGAAGGGACCTGGGTCCCAAACCCCAAATTCCACTCCCAAAGTGGCCCAGATTATCTGTGTCAGCCAGTGAATTAGTCCCTCAGATGGGAATTTTCCAATCGGTGAAATGGGTACAGCAGACAAGTTGCTGCGGGCCACAGGACCCTGCACCCTCTTGTCACTGCCAGCAGCCTCCACCTCTCCCACCATCTGGGTTTCCCCTACCCCCCGCCCAAACCGCACCACAGTAATCAGACAATCAGTGATTGTCACCACTCAAAGGGACCTCAAAGACCTCCTCCAGCCCCAGGCATCTGAAGTGACAACATCTCTAACAAGTATCCCTCTATCACTAGGTGCCAACTGATACACTCTTGTCAACTTCCTTCATCCTCACTGAACCCGATGAGGGAAGTACCAAGACAAGATTAGTCCCATTTTACAGAAGAGGAGACTGAGGTATAGCGAGGTTGACCAATTTGCTCAACATTACCCAGCTGACAGCATCGGGACTCAAATCCAGGTGGGGCCAGGCTCTTAAAGGATGTGAGACTGAGGGCTGAAGGCCTGGTATAAAGTTACACAGATAGTCAGAACTCACACTCATGCCTCTTTCCCACCTCCCAGGCCTGCTGAGACTGGTGACAGCATGGCTGTGAGAGCAGTGCATAAACTCCACCTCCTGCATCTATCAGCCAGAGCCCAGATCCTACCCTAAGCGGTGCCTGCTCCAAGAACGAAACCATCTCCCTCCTTGCAGGCCTCAGGGGTTGAGATGGGCACAGATCTCTCAGCATGAAGCCACAAAGAGGTCATCTTCAGCGCCCTGGGTGACCAGTGAATCCCTTCTTTTTCTACATCTCACCTCCTAGGAGAGGAGCAGGGTGGGAGTGTGGAGGGGCTACGGGAAGGAAGGAACAGTTCCGATGCACTCTAGGGCTCTCTGGACTGATCTTCCCTTCGGTTAGCCTCACAGAAGCAGCAGCGATAGTACCTCCCTCCCCCACTCCCTAACTTGGGCCGGCAGACCTGGGACTACTCTGTCCAGCCCCCGCCCAGCAGTCGAGCAGCGCCCTCCGTGCCACACATCAGCAAGTGACTCTCCTCTCGGGGCTGGGGCGTGGGATTAAGTTGCAAAGGGTCTGAAAGATTGGGGATGACAAAAGGGGCTTCGAGACTAATTAGGAGCAGCAATGAAAGCTTAATTCATAAAAGCAAACATTTTCCATCCATCAACCTGCAACCAGTTAAGGGCACCGTTTGAAAGAAATCTGTGCGTGGGGAAGAGAGCCAACAGGAACAGGAAATGTTCGAAAGAATGTAAACTATTTCAGTTTCATAAAAAGTAACAAGTAAACAGTTATTACATGCAAATAATGCCCTGGTTTTAATTAATGCTGAAAAGTCAAAATGTGTTTGACATTTGTATGTATACATTGAACAGTTAGAAAGGAAAAAATGGTGCCCAGATGCCCATTTCTGAGTGGGGCTGGCGGCTCGGAGGGAACTCAAACCTTGAGAAGGGCTTGCTTATTGGTGATGAAAAGTACAATTCTGCTTCAGCCCTTCAGCCTGTGTTGGGTTGGGAGCCAGCACAGAGGAACCCAGCTTACTCACTTGACAAAGCTGGAGGAGCAGGCCTGATGTTTGGGAAGAGCACTCGCTCAGGCTTCAGCCACATCTAAGGCTGGCTAGTCTTAAAGGGCCAGTGGACCCTCCATTTTCCATTTCACTGGGGGAGAGTTTCTAGAACCTCTCCACCCAGAAGTTAAGCGATGGAGTTAAGGTCTCAGTAGCTTCCCACACAACAGCCTCTGGTAGCAGCTCCAGTAGTGTCTTGTCCTACCTTCCCTCAGAATGCCGAGGAAGATCAGACAGGCAGGGTGGCACACTAGCCTGGACTCTGGGGTAGGAGATGGTAGCCACTGAGCTGTGCTTTTCAACACGCAGCATCCTGCAGTGCACGCCTTTCTATTCTTAACTATGTCAGTGCTCCAAGAGCTGGGGAAACCATGGCTTTGGGGGACTGCAGCTGGGGAGAGGTGGCCCTGAAATGTGGGAGAGATTTCTGACCCAGTGGGCAGAGGCGTATCTATGGAAAACAGGGCTTATGGCAAGCACTGAAATTGCATCGCCGACAAACATCTGACACCCATCTTTCAAATAACTGTACCAGAATATCAGCTCAAAAATACAAGCCTCAAGCTCGTTAATCTTCTACTTAATACTTTACGGCACCACATAAAAATCACAACTGTACCTTCCTTGCTTTCACTGATGAAAATTGGTCTATGACGTGCTCACAGTCATTTAAAAACATTTGTTTTTCAGTTTCTTTCTACACTCAGCAGAGCAAGATCACACAGTCTTCCTTGATCCGCGCAGGCTCTCCAATACGAAAGTATTGGTTTCAACTTGCTGAATGATCTCTTGTAGCTGGCGATGGAAACTATGATGGTTAATAGAAACTGCTCAGTGGCGCCCCCCTTCACGTGGTGCCCAGGGCACGTGCTATACCTGTCATACTTTAGATACTCTTGTGTGGCTGGGACATTTGGGCCACAAAGGCCAAGGACTTGTCCTCTAAACCTGCTTGTTGAAAAATCTACATGCCCCCTTTTTGAGCTTGTTCATCCAGAATCTTCTCCCAACATCTTTTGTGCAACCTTGGGCACTTAGCCAGGAAGCATGGAATGGGGAAGGCTGCAGAAGTTAGCAAAGCCTAGAAAGTGGGTGAAAAATGTGTCTCTTTTTGGCAAGAGGCTGTACCTTTCCTCACATCCTCAGAGGCTCGGTAACACCATAGGGGTTCCAGACCACTGTTTTAGACTGAGCTGGGCCAGGAGACCTGTTCCTGGAGCTCCCTTTGGGACCCCAAGGCGTCTCTCTCAGCTTCCCTCCCTCCATCCTTACCACCTCTACACTGGGGCTGATGCAGTCTCTCTCCAGCTCACCTCGCCCGCTGCGGCCCACAAAACGAAGGTCGTTGAACCTGGCCACCTGGTTCTTCATGACGGCCGAGGCGTTGCGCAGTTCCGCCGAGTAGTTCTCATCATTGCCTGCCATCACGGTCACCACCGTCCCATCTGGCACGTCCCCCAGCGCCACCACCTGAGGGCACAGGGAAGAAGGGCAGCTTAGAAAGGCTGAGGGAGGCTAGGAAAAGGACCGTAGGGGAGGGGCTGGGCCAGGCAGCTCCCCTAGGTCCCAGGCGCAATGCGGATTTCTTGAATTTCTTAAATGCCAGTGGGGAAATGGCTTAAAAACAACAAAGACTTTCCCCCAACGATAATAAAAATAAGAAGACGAAATCTTTACTTTCCATACCAAAATCCTGGATGACCTAGTTAAGCCATATCCCAAGAAAGCATCTCTCCAATTACAAAGCCTGAGCAGATGCAGTGAATTGGTTCAGTCACTGTAATGTGGGATGCTGCTGTCGCCTTCTTCCCTTCGGCTTGAGCAAAAGTGGTATCAGCACACTCTTAGCAATTAAGTCTCTCTAAGTAAAAATAACGTCAACAACAATAATAACAGAACTGCTCCCTGCACCTCATGAATGCAAGAGCCATTTGAGGTGTATTTGGCCTCTTTGGAGCCTGAATCCGTTTTGCAGGGAAAATGTTAAAACAAGCTGGTGCTCTATGAGGAGTGGTCCAGAAAATCTCCTTACGGGTGAAGGGGGTGATGTTGGTGTTGGTGGCTTTTGATAGCAGGAGGGTGCACCTGCTGGAAAGCGCTGGGTAGAGGTGAGGACGGCCTCCAGACACCCACCAACCCCCAGCACGGAGAGGCAGCTGCCTTTTGAAAAGGACTCAGACTCTGTAGCCGGAGTCACAGTCATTTAAACGTGGCTGCCGCGTGCAGGGACTAGGGATCCAGATGGTAAAAATTTCAAGGAGAAAATGTTTGGGGTCTGATTAAAAAGGCCAGATTTCCTGTCAACATCCTGTCTTCTTTTAATTTCAAAGATCCCTTTTAAGCTCTAAGTGACAGTAAAACCTCCAATCTGACGATTAAAGTCACACGCCTCCCCCCCTTCGGGAGATTTCCCCCACTGGTATTTTAAGATGTCACCCGGGAGACCTCAAAGAGCCACTCATCCCTTTTTCCAATTTGGAGTCCTCTTAATGGGAGTGAAGAGGGCCTCAGCTGCCAGCGGTTGCTGTTTCCAGCCACCTCGGGCTCTGCCACCCCAGCCACCGGCCCTTCCTGCCCTGCCCTTTCTCACGGCAGCTGTGAGAGGTTTAGGGGAAAACCAAGACGTTTTCGTTTCATCTCGCTGCCCCCTTAAAAAAATGAAAATGAAACGGTCGCCTACTCCCTGGCATAGAGAAAAGGATCCTCCGAAGGCCTAAGGGCTTCTATGGTGTGGGAGTGCCCCATCTAAGCCTGGCATTCTGGATGCGGATCCCGGCGGGCGCAGCCGATTAGGATGCAGTGATCCGGGTTTCCGGCCTAGGGTCGTCCTGTGTAACAGTGAATTGGTTCAGTCACTGTAATGTGGGATGCTGCTGTCGCCTTCTTCCGTGATCAGTGTTTCTGATCCGTGCAGGAGAAGTGCTGCCTGCAGCTGAGGGTCGGCCCTAATCCACCCTTTGCACCTCATCTCGGGTCTTCACGCCCTGGTCCCGGGGATCCGCTTCCCGGTTGCCCGCAGGGCTGCGTCCGAGAGGTCTGGGCTAGGGAAGGCGAAGCCCCATCCGCCCTTCTTCGCATCAATATCTCTCCGCAAAGCTCCCCGAAGACTAGGTGGAGAAGAGCTTGTCCCTTAACAATCATCTGCTCGAGGCGCATCCAACATGGAACTCCGAAATCGCGGGGAGAGCGCGTAGCGAGGTCGAAAAGAGCCTTGCGTCCGGGCTGTGGGGTGCTTGGGTCTCCCCGCCCGGTGGCGGGCAAGTCTTCTCGTCTCCTCTTCCCTCCCAGGGCCCTGGCTCCTGGAGCCGGGAGGCCGGGAGCGCAGGGCCGGTGTCCTCCCGCCCCGGGCCCCGCACTCACCTTGAAGGCGACGGGCAGCGTCTTGTTGCAGCGCCAGTGCGAGGGCAGCACGGAGCAGAGGAAGTTGGGGCTGTCGGTGCGCACAAGCTCGCCCGCGTGGTCCGCCAGCACATCCACTACCGATCGCACCTCGGGCCGGGCGCGCCCGCCGGGGCCCACGGCCGCCTGCGCGCTCAGCGCGCCGCTGTTCTCTCCCATCTTGCCGCCGCCGCCGCCGCCGCAAGGAAAGGCCGTGGAGGGAGGTGTGAAGCGGCGGCTGGTGCTCGGGTCTACAGGAATACGCATAACAGCGACCGTCAGGGCGCCGGGCGGGCGGTGGCGGCTCGGGCGCCTCCTCGGCCGCCGCGGCTGCGAGAAGCCGGAAAGCAGAAGCGGCAGCGGCGGGCCGGGGC